AGTCTATAATAAATTAAACAAGTATTAACATAGATGTCTATATTAAATTCAAATTATAGTTGCCACCAAACTATTTGGAATAGCCCAAACTATGTGATGATTAGCATCACATGTAGGCAAAGTTAGGTTAAGGCCTAGTTAAAATTATATGTAATGCTAATTTGATAGTTTAGACGGCCAAATAAAGGAAAAAGAAAATAAAAACAACTTTCCTCTATTAATTTTTGCCATTCTAAGATATGATCAACATTGTAACACACTGATTGATTCATTTGCAAATGCTGTTTACCTAGCATAATAGGTGTTAAGAATTTTTTTATTATGTTATCTATCTGTCTAAAAAGTATAGTATTTAATGTTGGCAATCCAACTGTTGGTAGTACACTATACTCGACTTCAAATCTTTCAAAGTGCTTCTCATTTTTGACATAATTATTAATGTTAACTAACAAGTCACATAGAGATGTCACCCGATCAACCTTATCATGTATTTGCTTGTTGATAGACTCTATCCTCTGTGTGCTTTGAGCACCAGCTGTAAATTGATTACATATACATGATATTCCCCATGACTTCTTATTAACATAAAGTGTTTCTGACATATATTTTGCCACTTCTGGGTATTGATCGACCAAATGTGACCATCGAGCCTCAAATAGCTCACTGCATAATGAATTTTGACAAACATAGAACTTTTGATGAAATTCTTCAAAATGGGATCTCAATTTACATTTAAGCTTTTTTCAGAGATTCATATCAATATGGAAAATACATAATAAGTGGTTTGTATTAGGATGTATTTCTTTAATTACACTAATCATGGATGGATCAGAATCGGTAAATATGACTTTGAGATTGATGCCCATTTCCTCAAATAAAGTAGTAAAAATCCATTGAAAAGTATCAAGAGTTTCATCATCTATAACAGCAGTAGCTATGATTCTTGATCTGAAATGATTATCAATAACTATCATGACAAAGAGTATCATTTGAAAGCGATTTGTGTTGGATGTGGTGTCAATAATTACAACATCATAGAAATTTTCATATAAAGACCTTTGTGATGGAGACATCCATAATAACCTATTTAATCTTCTAGAAAAAGGATCTAAGTGTGGTTTAACCACCCATAAAGAGTTAAATTCCTTCCAACTTAATAACATTTGAAGCATTTGGGATGCATCCGAGTCACCTGGATTATTTGTAGCTCGAAACTGATATACTGCATTGTAAAGGTCTTTTTTAAAGATGGGGTTATTGGGATAGTTATGTTTAAGTAAAGGGTAAATAGATCCAGAGTCCATCTGGCCTTGAATTACATATTTTTCAATGTCGGATAACATTTCCAGCATTAATTTTCTGAATATTGGTGCCATTTCATGGATAGTTGTGCTAAGCACGTGATTATGGTTATCCACAAATGAAGTAATCTTTAAAATATTGCTTTTTTTAGAGCAGTACACATTAAGCCTCTAGGGACATTCTGTCCATTGTGAAACTGCATTTCGCCATTTAGTGGGGTCACAAGTTACTTGAGGATTGTGAATACCTGATCTTGAACATTCTAAAGTAGCATGTCCTATTACATCTCCATCCTTTTGACTAGTTCTAACCCTATAACTAAATCCCTTTTTTTTTGAATAATAATTCATCCACACTTTAAATTCTATCCAGTCTACAAAGGTTAGGTCATTATTTAATCCTGAAGTATCTATCAGATTCTCACTTTCCTCTAAATCTGTGTCGATTATAATTCCATTATCGATGTTATTATTTTCTATTAAGGACCCTTGCTCAGAAGGCTGATGATCACTACTAAAATTGGTGACCTTTTAAAAAAGAAGTTGAAAAAGATTAATGTTTAGTGTAAAAACCATAAAGGCACTAGAAAAAAGCTGCTCTTACTGGAGATAATAAAAAATCAACAGGAGAATTGATGTCTACTGGTGTTGAAAATAATATAGACATAACGTTCAATGACAGTTCTGGTAAAACAGGGGACATATGATCCAGTGACAATTTTGATAAAACTGGGTTCTATAAAAATATAATGTAATGTTAACATCAGGTTATTTCTACCACAAAAGTGCCAACAATATATATCCTAAATTTTGGGTACAGTATAAACAAAATCGGTAGAAATGTCTTACAAAAGGTAATGATGGTTCTGGTAAAACCAGGGACATAAGATTCAGTGACAATCCTGGTAAAACTGGGTTCTACAAAAATATAACAATTTAAGGTTCCAACAATATGTATTCTAAATTTGGGGTATGAACAAAAATTGGCAGAATGTCTTACAAGAGGTAATGAAAAATCAGTGCAAGAATTCATGTCGCCTAGCCCTGGAAATACTGTAAACATATGTAATCTTGGTGAAACTGGAGCTATAGGTTCTAGTAGCAGTTCTAGTAAACCCGGATTCTGTACAAATACAACGATTTAGTGAACGTAAAAGGTCTTTAATTCCTTGCACATATGTTTAAAAAGTTTTTTAATTACACTTTCACTAAGATTTTCTGAATTCATAAACGGTATGTTCGTGACACTTGTTTACTCAGTTATTTGATATATTTTTTATGATTGAACCTTTAAACACCCATGGCAAATAATTTTTAGGCTTAGAAAATTGATTCACAGATTTATTAGAAGCGAAAGAAATCAAATCATTATTGTTATCACTTTTATATTTATACTTTAAGAATTACATCATACTTTAGTCATGCATGAATCACAACAATGCACTCATATATTATCTTTAAGCGGAGTTCTAATTGCACTAGAGAGACTTTATACCACAGCATGTCTTGGTTACGATTTTTGTAAAGGAACTATGTCTTGTATGTTGTATGAATATGGGCCATCTATGTAAATAAATATAATAATATTATACTGTATATATAGTTTGTAAATAAATACATAATATTGTAATTATAAATATATAAATAATAAATATGTGTAATATACACATAGTGTAATTTAAGAAATTTTCTAATCTTTAATATTATATTATTTATTCAAACTTCTATTCTTTATATATTTTATTCTTATAAATTAAATTTGAACTATAGTTTTATATTTTATTTAAGTTCGGATTTTTATCAAATACAGTTAATTTGATATAATATTTATAACATAATTGTCATATAAGTTAAGTTCTAAATTTAAATTAAAAACTGTTAAACTTTGTATAATTTTGAAAAAAAGTTCTAATGTCAGTATGCAAAACCTTTTTTTAAGGTTATTCTTGTTATATACTACCTATGACCTTTTATTTTACATAGTATACCATTGCAATTGTCACTAGTAGAAGTTTCATCTGTTTTTGAATCTTGAAATTTGATATTTAAAATTTCAAAAACTAGGTTTTTGTTAAGTATAATTACAAAATTTCAAATAACAATATTTTGAAAAATGTTTTTTTGAAAACTTTGTTATTATGCAATGTATACATAAATAATATAACATAATGCTTTAAAAATTGACCAATTAATAGATTTTTATACATGCTGGTACAATCACTAATAAACCAATCATGCAGCTGTTTAGTAAAATTTAATAAGACCCTTTCTTTAAGTGTTTAAATTTCTCTGTATCAATTTTGCCTAAGCCCAAAATATGTATTTTAACCAACTAATCAACTTTAGGCCTGATTTTTAAATTTTATTTACTAAACTTGCAAGGATTACTTTTTATTCATCATGTTAAGTAACTAAAATTGACCAAATTTCAAGATTGGATATAAAACAGAAGTGTAAAATTCTCATATCTCAAAAATTCACACCTTAAACTGCTTTACGCATATTAAAGAGGGTTTTTATTGAAAATTGTATTAATCTATGGTTTCTAACTTAGTACCAAATATACATCTAGCACAATAAAAAAGTACATAACTCTTATGACCTCTAGACTAATGCGGTTAACCCTCCATAAATGCACCCTCTATGAATGCACGCACTATGTATACCTCTCTAAATGCACACTAATCATAAGTCACAAGTACATGGTACGTTTAATAAAATGCTCTCCTTAAATGCACATTTTCAATAACTTTGCCTATAGTCCCAAGCGGCAGCATTTACGGAAAGTTAACAATATATCAAAATTTTAAGTGATTCTTACATGTAATAAAATCCATCTAAACATACAGTATTTCTTTATAATATAAAAAATTACTCTTTAATAAATACGTAGCAATAAGCTATACACCCAATGAAAACACAAAGTCTTCCTTGAGTCACATGACGTGTTGTGTATAACATACAAACCAATCATACCAATTGAAATATAACAATAATATTAATTGAACTAAGCTTTTTACATTAAATATTAGCGAAATATACAATAGTATGGATTCAATAATTATAAATTATATTCAAATAGGACGTGATAATCACGCTGTTAAAGAAAGAGAATCAATCCTCCTAACCTTTTATTACTCCTTCAAAGTAAATTCATATAAGGCTCTCCATTTGTACTCGATTTTTCTTTATCGTTTTTGCAGACTGGATATATATTAGCCAGATGATCCAAACATGTACCAGGAACGGAGTATGAAATACGGAGTGTATGGTTTTATGGCAAGTTAAGTGGAGTTCGCAATTCTAGGCATTTG